GCAATAAAGTGGCAGACATCAACCCTAGTATATTAATAAATATCTTAAGTGTAATGAGGTCTAAATACACAAATTAATAGAGACTGACAGGGTGAATTTAAAGGTGAATAAAATGTCCAATAGTATCGTGTTTACAAGAAATTCATATCAAATACAACATAAGTAGGCTTAGAGTAAAAGGCTGGTAAAAGATATACCATGTTAGCAGTCAACATAAAAGCATGACTGGCTATCTTACTATCAGATACAGTGACTTCAGAGCAAAGAAAACTACTGGACATAAAAGAGATATTACATAATAATGAGAGAATCAATCCACCAGGGAGATATGAGAACCTAAATATCTGTATATCAAACAGCCCTAAAACCTGAAGTAAAGTCTAAAAAAATTAAAGAAAAAATAGAAAAATCTCTGATGATAGTTGACTACTTCAAACTTCAATCTCAGCAGTTTATATTGATAGAACTACTAAACAGAAAATCAGCAAGGATATAGACCTCAACAACAACATCAACCAACAGGATCTAATTGGTATTTATAGAACATTCCACAAGACCAACAGTAGAATGCACAGGCTCTCAATTGCCCACAGGACATTCAGCAAGACAGACCATATCCTGGCACATAAAAGCAAATCTCAACTAATTTAAGAATTGAAATAATATAAAACATATTCTCAGATCACTATGGAATCAAACTAGAAATCAATAACAGAAAGATAAAAAAAAAAACTCTTAAAAAAACTCTTAAATACACAATACATGTTTTAAATAATCCCAGGATCAAAGAAGCAATTTCAAGGGGAATAAAAATACATTGAGTTGACTTAATGTGAAAATAAAGTATATAAAAAAATTGCAGTACACAAGTTAAAGGAGTGCTGAGAAGATATATAGCACTAAGTATACATTAGATCAAGGGAAAACCTCACATAGATAATTACAATCTCACTTCAGATTCCCAGAAGAAAATCAAATAGACCCAAAGTAAGCAACAGAAAAAAAATAATAAAAATGGGAAATAATGAAATTGGCAACAGAGAAACAGCAGAGAAAATTTATGAAACAAAAAACTGCTTGAAAAGGCCCACAAAATTGACAAACTTCTAGAAACTGACAAAAGATATAAATTATCATTCCGAATGAAATGATAAAATCACTACAAAGCCTGCAGACATCAGAGAATTATGTCAGTCCCCAAAGTGTATATACATATATACTATAATGTTATTTTTGTAACATTCTTGAAATGACAAAATTATAAAAATAGGAAACAGTTAGTGGTCCCATGATCATAAGGGGGGATGGAGTGGAATGGGAGTGCATGTGGCTATAAAATGGCAAAACAAAGGACTCTTGTGATGATGGAACTATTCAGTTTCTTGATTATGATATTGTACTATAGTTTTGCAAGATGTTACCATTGAGAAAAATTGGGGAAGGTTACATGGAATTTCTTTGTATTATTTCTTATACCTGAATTGTGAATCTGCAATTATCTCAAAATAAGTTAAGCTTTTTAAACAAGTACATATAAATAACTGTCAAATGAAGCTATATTTAGTAGGTATTTTGTAGGGTAAAGGGAGTAATTTTGATGCATTAAGGAAGAACTTCCGCTAGTGAAGGAAGAATTTTGTTGAAGACACAGTGTGGACCTTAGCATTGAAGTCCAGAAGGGATGAGATGGGAGAAAAGACAAGTCATTTGGGCAGAAAGGATAGCATGACCACTCTGTATGTTCTTCTGTAAGCATTGGAGTAATGCCTTTGTTTCATTCACTTGAACATTTTCCAAGGGTGTTATATTTGGTGGGGAGCATTGTTCCTGAAGATACTACAATGCCAGGTCTGTGCATGGAGTGGACAGAGTAAGCTTCTTTCCATCTCTTATTTCCAAAAATCCATTTCATATATTGTCCTTGGATAGAGGATGTATTGAAATATCCTTTTTGTAAGATAAATAATAACGTTATTGAATGTATGGAAAAAATGAAATAAAAAAAGATAAAAAAAAAAGATAATCACTGTCATGGTAAAAAAAAAAAAAAACTGATAAGAACAGATATTATACTTGATCTTAGCCAAAAGGCTGAGAAGTGATGAAATATAAATATTCTTTAATTGTTATTGTTGGCTTCTTTTGTCTCAGAATATGGCGTTTAGTAGGAAACTAAAATAATGTTTTATGTTTGGCCTAATTCAGTGCCTTACTTGCTGTAAGTGTTTGGCAAATATTTATTGATTATAATTGAAGTGTTAAGAAAGGCTATTTATATTAAGGTGACCTTTTCAGAATAAACTACAATAAGCTCATAATAAGTGTAAAAAAACCTGCTGTCAGTAAAATCTATGTAATAAACTTGATAGCCAGCCAGAGTTGCCTTGAGAAATTTAAAATTTAGATCTTTTAGAAAAGAAAATCCGATAATATTACTGTCTTATGTATGTGAAAAATAGGACTGAGGTTATGACTTCCTGAGTGCATATTAACTGGTTTATATCCAAGCCGGATAATAGAAACTCTGCCTGCATTATTATTTAAAAACTTAGGTCTTCTCAATTTCCCACTAGGTTTGTCAGCTCTTATTACCCACTCTATACAAGAGCCAGGTAAAATACTTAAGTAGCTGAAGTATGCAAAAGAAAAGTATGTCAGCCTTAAAAATCTTACTGTTTGTCAACACTATGTATATATTTCTGTATATTATGGTGACATAGCTTATATTTCTTATCTTCACTTGGGAACATAACATCTTTTGTACAAAGACACATCTGGATCTTTTCATTGAAATATCAGTTTAAGTTTCTATCTTCTAAGGAATCTTAGCATAAAGGTGGGTGGGTAGTCTCTGAAATCCAGTAGTAAGTAGTCCAGCCAACACTGAAGTCATTGTTTTGAGCCTTATCATTCTAATAATTTATATTAATCATTCCAATAATTTATATTAATCACTTATATTATTCTAATAATTTATATTATATGGTCATGCTAGTGTATCCCAAGTGAGTATATCAGAGACTTAAAGAGAAATATACTTTTGCTATAAATTTTTTTTTAACACTCATCCCATTTAATTTCCTGTTACATGCTCTGAAGAAGCTGAGAACATCACACCCCAGGGCAGCAATGCTCTGAGAGTCTAGCTCCAGCCCCTCTATGTGACAGATTCATGCACACACATCCATACACACCACTGACCCAGGCAGAAGTACACATGCATGCACAGTTGGCTAGAGAACCACCAGATTGGGTGGGAGGAGGGGGTGGTCAAGGATAGGCATTCAACTGGAAACCGAGGAACCCAGAGAACCCTTCTGTTGCAAACTGAACAAGAGTCAAAATTAAAGGCAGAACATAGGATAAAGAGGTAGGATACTGAGACAAGGATTGGAGAGATAAAGAGGGAAAGATGCAGGGGAAGTTTCGGGAAAGCTCAGAAGGGGAGATTTTTCTTTATTCGGAACTCAGATGGGCAGAGGTCCTGTGACTCCAATGGTATACCGAGACTGAAGGAATACGCCATACTTCCTCTGCATCCTGTGCCCTCTCCCAAGGTAGAGGAAAATCAACCAACGCCCACCCTCTAGCCCTCCCCAATGACACTCTTAAGGACTTTCCCCAGTACCCAGAAAGAAATGCCTCCACACCACCACCCTCAACACACCCATAGTTAGGTCCAACACAGGCCAAAGTTAGGTCAAGTAAAGAAATCCTCAGTAACTCTTCTTGGTAGAACCAAATCCAGAGAAGCCCATCACAGCTGCCATGTCATCATCTTCCTCAAATGTTAAGTCCTCCTCAGCCCTCCTTTTCTTCTCCTTCTGTTTCTCTTTTTTGTATGCTTTGGTCTTTTCCTCATCTTCTCTGAGCTCCATCCTTTCTTCAAAATCATAATCCTTTTGTTTCTCTTCCATCTTCTTGTTGACTTCAAGACATTTCTTCACCTGATCCAGTGTAGAACGTTCCACACGCATAGACATGCTATGAATATATATTATTTTAGAGAGATTTTTGCTCTAGGTCATGTGGGCTTGCTAGACAAACAGAAAGCGAGAAATCACTTCCCTAAGGGGGGATGGCCACGCTGCAGTCCCTTCTCCATTCTCCTCTCTGGATCTTGAGCACACATGCACACATGACTGGCATGAGTTTTAAGCCACTGGGTCCGAGACTCAAACTGCAGTCAACTGCATGGGAGTCCAGCAACATAACCATTACACCATCTGCTGGTCCCTATTATAAATTTTTTCATATTGAAGCTAATGGACAGGTTTATATAAAGCCTGATTGTGAAAAGAATTACAGTAGCACAAAGGAGGGACATCAAATATGGTATGTGACTAACCAGAAAGTATCACTTTACATTTCTCTTAATTTTTTTTTCATATTTAAGATAATCACAGGTTGTTTTTGACTTTCACTCAGTCTTTCTGTGATTAGGTCATGTCATTGACTCCTAAATTGTAATTTATAGTTTTAATTAAAATTCTTATTTGCACACAGCCTCAATCCTTCTCTCTTTAAGGTCTGATTTCTTTCACACCTTTATTTAGTCTTTTATAATTTTCCTGACTTGATACCATATTTCTTTAACAAACTTAAAAGATCTCAGTTCCACAACAGGCTTAGAAAATCGGATGACAACTACCATCTCTGTTTTCTAGGGGGTAAACTAAACTACAAAGAGCTAAAGACATTTTTCCAATTCATTGAGCTGAGGATATAAGATAAAATAACATTTTTTTGTCAGGCTTTCTAATTTACTGGGTTAGAGTTCAGCTCCCCTTTCCTTGGGATATCAGTACATTAGACATCAGCAACAAGAAATGAATTTCAAAAGGATCAAGTCTAGGAATCCAGTTAGTGTTTTCATTGGGCTCAAGGTTCACATCCCAAAAGGGAAATACTTGGTCACTGCCTCAGTTTTAAGTAGAGCTGTTCTGACTGCTAATAAAAAAAATTGCTAACACTTTATGACTTTCTTCTTATTTGCTTAGATTACAGCGTCAAATCCATGCTAAAGATAATGAAATCAAGAATCTCAAAGAGCAACTTTCCATGAAAAGGTATAATCTTGGCTTTTTCTTTGGTTGAGAATGTTCTCACTGAAACTGTATTCTGCTCAACTGGCTAGAGTAGCCATATAATTTATCCAAACTGAGGCACTTCTGAGCATGATATTAAATAGTATTAATACTTACGCTGGGATAGTAGGTATAAATGAGAAGTGTCCTAGACAGATTAGGAGGTATAGTCATCTTAGCTCTGTGTCTAGAAAACTGCTGAGAGACACTGAACCGGAAATGTTATAGTCCTACAGAAAAACTACTACCAGGACATGGAGATCTTAAGATTTATTATTTCTTTCCCCTAATCAATATTACTAGGTGGGACTGCTTTATGAAACTGGTTGGGTTTTATTCTGATTGACCTATTTTTGTTTGTGGGTAATTTCTTTTACAGCTACTTATTTTTTTTTAACTGTGGGATTCTTTTTTTTTAATTTATTTTTTATATACATTCAATCACATTGTTTAGCTTACAAAGTGAACATTTCTTTTTTTAATTAATTAATTAATTTTTTTTAACATTAATACGCTATACATCATTACAGTGTACAAAATTAATTTTCTATCCAAAATACACTGTCTGTTGGCTCAAACGCATCAACATACATGTTGTCAACAATTTTCCATTTCTCATATCTTGTATATTTTGCTTTTTTATTATTTTTATTTTTATTTATTTATTTATATTTTATTTTATTCTTTTTTCTCTCTCTCGCTCTTTCTTTTTTTTTTTTTTTTTTTTTTTTTTCACCACTTT